AGCATTAAGGAGCATTGATGCCATTGTCTTAAAGGCTAATTGTAGGCTAGCAGACTCATGAGTCAACTCACTCTGACTGAGATCGATCCGTGAGTCTGAGCGAGTCCGATTGAAGAAAATTTTCGTGAGTGTGAATCTGATGTGAGTTGGGTGAGCAATACTTTAGTGAGTCCAAAGAGCAAGATATATTTCTGGAGTGAGCCTGAGGGAGTCCCACAATATTTTGCTGACCCATGGTCTTACCTATGAGCCTTGCCTGGATTCACTCACACGTATTCCCCAAGCAGTATCATTCATACACTATGTCAATATTTATTGACCACAAGCATCAATTGCACTGGGGAAGGAGGTGCATTTACATACCCCCACTAACTCATCCAGGAAAGTTCTTGATAAATATATCTTTTGTTGTCACCTTTCTCAAGAAAAACACCTTGACTGGTTTGCAAAACACTCGTAAATAGTATTCAAACGTACTACATAAAAAAGTATCAAGATGAGCCCTTATTACGTGAGATATCGGTGTTAAGGAGCATTGACGCCATGGTATAAAAAGCTACATATAAACCTGATTACAACAAAGTTGCATCTCACAGCAAAGAAAGTTCGTTATATTAAGAAATTTGTTATGAAGGTATATGTCTAACACAATGTATTGCAGAACTATTTTTAATTTACTTTTCACTTTATTATAACCAATATTTTCTTATATCCAGGTTCATTACATTGAGGTCTGAGTGTAATTCTAGGCTAGTGGACTCGCGATTCCACTCACTCAGGCATACATCAATCTATGAGTCTGAGCCTGAGTGAGTCTGGATGAGTAATATTTTGCTAAGTTGGAGTGAGTCAGGTTGAAGAAAATATTCACAAGTGTGAGATCGAGTGAGTCCGGCTCAGCCAAATTTTGGTGAGTCCGAGCAAGTTCAAAGTGCAAAATCTATTTCACGAATGAGTGAGCTCAACACTGTTTGCTGACCTATGTGGAACTTGCAGAAGACAGCACCCAAGAAACTGACCGAGTCTGTTTACAAGCTATACGCATTTCATGGTCTCAAATTGAGTGTACAAAGGGAACCACGAACCTCACAGGTATGTAACCACACTGTCCATATCATGTAGTTGAAGCATTATTGCAAGTTTAACATACTTTCTCCTTGTCAGTTTGGTTTTAGGGCTGGTCTTTCCACAGACGTCAACTAAAAGCACGTTTACTAGTAATGCAACGTACCGCAAGATATCGGCTCAGTCACTTGATAAATTCCGAGAAGCTGTGCGCGAAACAGACTGGACTGGCATACTTTCCATTAGGGATGCCAATGAGTCATATGACAAGTTTATGAACAAACTGAAAATACTTTACTTTAAATCATTTCCGATTCAGCACTACCGAAATCAAAAGCCATCGTGCAAGCCCTGGATTTTGAAACAATTCATAAGACAAATCAACAAAAAAAAATAAACTTTACCAGTGTTTTGTCGAGTCAAAGGACTTGTCAAAGTGAAAAGAATATAAACAACTTAGAAATAAATTGAACAAAGAAAAAGAAAAGGCAAAAAATGACTACTAGGCGCGTATATTTAATAATGATTGTATGCGCCGAAATAACAAGGTATGGGAAAAAATAAACGATACACTAAATCGCAGGCCAGCCACTACACGAATAGATACACTGAATATCGATGGTATTACTATAAGCGGCACAGAACTTGCGGACCTATTCAATGATTTCTTTGTGAAAGTGGGATGCATAGATCACGGCATTCAGACCACACTGCATCAAACCTCGTTAAGGGAGTCTATATTTCCAAAGCCTACTAACACTTCTGAGGTGATTGCAACATTTTCATGTCTGAAAAATAGCCGCAGTAGGGATATGGACGATTTAGAAATTAGACCAATTAAGTATGCCATAGCCTTTCTCTATCCTGTTATAATGCACATTTTTAACGCATCCTTGTCGACTGGAGTTTTCCTTCGCAATATGCAAGTAGCCCGAGTAATGCTTTTACATAAAGGGGGTGATAAAAACAATATTGGCAACTATAGACCAGTTTCTATTCTTTCTGTATTATCAAAGGGCCTCGAAAAAATTATCAACGTCCGTATTGATAATTTTTCGCAGAAACATAACTTGCTAACCGAGTGTCAGCACGGTTTTCGAAAAAGACGGTCTACAGAAAGTGCATTAAATATACAAAAGGATCTTACTCTTTGGAACATTGAAAAAAAGCTTCTAACGTTAGGGTTATACTTAGACTTTAGCAAAGCATTTGATAGAGTCAACCACCTACTGTTGCTTACGAAACTAGAAAGATATGGCTTCCGAGGAATAACACTTGAACTTATCCGATATTATTTAAAAAGTTGACATCAATTTGTTGAAATTAATGAAAATAGGTCACAAACTAAACCTCTAAAAGTCGGTGTGTCTCAAGATAGCATCCTTGGCCCGATATTTTTTCTTTATTACATTAATGACATCGCATAAATTAGTGATATGTGTAAGGTTGTCGCTTACGCAGATGACTGCTACATTTTCTTTACAGGAAAAGACTTTGAAGAAATGATGCCTATAGCTAGCACTGTCTGTAACAAAATTCAACGCTGGTCAAAGGCAAACTGCTTGATTCTTAATGAAGCCAAAACAAAATGTGTAATTTTTCTTGCCGAAGGAAGTTCTACTACATTACCAGATAACATTGTTCTGGGTCCATATAAGATTACCATTACGTCCTCTATGAAAACACTCGGAGTTATATTCACCGAGCATATGTCCTAGAATGCTCATGTTGACAATTTGTGTGCGAAAGTGCGAAAAGTTATTGGTATTTTAAATCGCTATCAAAATACATTGCCCTATAAAATTAAGCACCTCATTTATCATGCTCTCTTTCACTCACACTTCACTTATTGCTCACTCATATGGGGAAACACCACTGCACAAAATATTCAGATGATGAAAACACTTCAAAAGAAGGCAGTTCGAGCTATTGCGAATGTTCGCTTTCTCCGAACATACGGAAGAGCTTTTTCGGCAAATTAAAATAATAAAAGCTGATGATATTTGGAAACTGAAAACTCTACAATGCTACAAGAGTGCTATGCTAGGAAAGCTAGATTCATTTTTAACCCTCGCTGATCTACAAGAAAACAAAAGTACATATTAATTTTGCCGTCAGGCTCCATGGCAAATTCTTTTTTCTCATACAAATTATGGACAACAGCGCCTTTGTCATACACTGACTCCGCTACTTAACCATTTCAACAGACAAAGTGTTGATGTGTTATCGCTAAACAAAACTAAAATGTTGGACCTGTTCCTGTAACGGCTCATTAACATAGGATTAGAAAAGAAAAAAATCCCACCGGTTGTTGATAGCATGCTGCTGTTATAGTAATTTTCTATGTTATAAAAAAAAAGGTGTTTTACGGTTGTACTTTGTAGTTGCTGTATAGTTGTTTTTAATTTATAAATTTCTCTTCCTTCATCGCAATGTTTATTTTATATTCAATTGAAATGTTATTATTGCTTTAATGCTTTATACTTTGTAACATGCTTTCTTCTATTGTTTTGAAACAAACTTCACCAGTGTCTGCCTGGGGGACCGGAGCTTTGTCCAGCCGAAGAACTATCGGCTTTTTCTCCCGTTCTCCCTTTTTCACCTTTGTATGAAATGGTGAAAATAAAAGATTTTTTTTTATTTGATTTGATTTGATTAAAGTGCATCACAGATGAAAGTGTCACCGAGATCGCCCTTGTTGTTTACATGAATAACTTTTCAGGCACATTTGTTCAGTGTGAGAATTTACCGTAACGATTTGTAACTATGTATTTTTACTGTGCGAATTTGCTTATCATACCCAAGAGCCTCCTAACTCGCTTAACTGGGTCAGTCGTTCGTGCATGAGCTGACAAACTGAAATGTACACGTGCATCCTACACTGCTGTAACAGCAACATTTTACAACTGAGTCGCATTCGTGCTGTGCAGATAGCTAATTTTTCGATGAGATTCTTAGAGCTGGAGCTGCGTGTCAACATAGCTCATATGTTCATTTCAGAGTCTCTCTTACAGCCACTGCAGCTTTTGTTGCAGCTGCCGCTTGTAAACATGTGGGAGGTGCCCCGATGCACTCTACTCGGAGACAGCATTTGCACCTGCTTTGTGTAGTCATGTGGATATGGAAGGCAGTAGTGAGCTTTGAGCTGAGACAGCAGGGTGGAGCCAACGTACTGTGACGCCCTTACAAGGAAGCACATATCGACAGCACATGCCCCTATTTACAAACATAAAATAGGTCTACAGTTCGTGGGCACTGCAAATACCAAAAGTAGCTTCGAAACGTGTGCCTACTTCACCTGGCTGTAACACCGTGCTTCCCACTTAGCTCACCCTATGAAAAATCGTGGCTGGCCAACAGGGAAGACACAATGCATGTTGCATTTCGTTTTAGTCGGGCAATGGCGTTTTGGTATTTCTGTAGTTTACGCCTGCAAATAAAGAATTGAATTGAATACCCTGAGATGCCACGAGTTGGCAACCTTGGCTGGTTTAACCAAAGTTCGGCTTCTATTCAGTGATGCTCTCTTGGCCGTCACATCGCTCTCACCTTAAACTACAGCTACCCTATGCTTCTATGACCACAATAGTTGTGGAATCTTTAATCATAAACTTTAGTCACTGAAATGCCAACATGAGTACATTCATGCCGTCAAACACTAAGAGACATTCTACAAGCACTCTTTGCACAATCAACATTCAACTACTTGTGTAAGATTATGGTTCACTATTGCACTATAGCAATTTCTATGACAGAAGGATTAACCAAGTTTTTTAGTGTGTGTTCTGGTGCCACCATAACTTCACATTCCGGTTCTCGCACAACAAAGTAGGTTTATAGATGCACTATAAGAGGGGACGACTCAGGAAAGTATTCCAAGTGAAATGTGAGACCTAGCACTGAAGGAAAGAAGGACTGTTGAACAAAAGGCATACCTCGATGGCACCCTGGACAGTCCAGTGCTCAGTGTGGGGACGTGTGCTCTGGCGCTGCATCCCTCTGCACAATAAAGAAAAAGACATCAGGCAAAGATAGCCTGCCCCGGCACATGTAAACACACTATTTTTTTAAAGTACACCTTGCGCCTAACCTTTGAGCGAACTTGACCTCTCTTGTTGGGTAGCACAACTCTAATGACTAACTGGCCAAAAAAGCACTTCTGCTGGCAATGAAACGCACATGATAACCCCATTCGCATTTCGGTTGCTCTGTAGAGAGCATCGTAACTTATTTTTAGTGCACACTGACACACGGACAAATAAAAGAAGAGTATAACACCAGCGCTACTATCAACTTAAGGTTTTATTCAAAAAAGGAACATTTATATATCAATGTAGTCACCCTCTGACCCCTCCACCATGCGCACCGTCGTAATTTCAAATCCATGTCTATCGTACCATATCTCATGTGTTCATTATTCGCTTTAGCAGTGACACTTCTTTTTCTAAAATTGTCACTGACGGGTGGCTGATACAGGATGATTGCGTAACGTTGATGTGAAATGCTTTCACGATCTCTCCTGCGTTGCGACTGTGGTGCTTAAACAAAATGATTGTATTTGAAAAGTGTGCCCTCGCATCTGCATTTTGCACAGTGTAAGGCCAAATGCCTTAGCGGCCTGCCCTTTAAAGATGACTGGTGCTCCCTTATGCGAATATTTATGCAGCCACCAGTCTGCCCCACATACACTCATCCGCGTGTGAGAAAAATACAGTAAACAAGATTCCATGTGCGTTTAACCTTGTTGGTTAGCTCCTCCAATTCATGCGCAGATGAGATAGCGAAAACATCTGTTCCCGACTGGGTTTGATCACTACCAAAGTGTCCCGACACATGCATAACTAATTTCCGCGAATGTGCTGTGCCACTTAGTCGATCTGCCTGACAATGTTCAGCTATTTTTTCTTGTTTTCTTTTTTTCATCCTTCAACACAAACTGTATTTGGTAATGCGAATGATGTGAGCAGATCCCACTGCATGATTTGCCCAACTCTAACGAAATTCTGCCGCAACATATTTTCACAGAACCTACCAGAACCTTTAGAGTCTTCCCCATTAGCTGAAAAAAAAAATTACCATCCCAGTTGGTCGCTAAGAGAATGAACAACACTAATGCCTATCGTGCTGAACCTAATGAGAGGCGCACCATCAGCCGTTCACTGGGTGCCTGCTATAATTCGCACAATGTAGAACACTACACAACGCACTTTCAGACATTCCTGCTAACGCATTAAACCTTTACGATTACCTAACGAGAAAAACTAGGCATCATCATTATTGCGTTTTCAAGCAATTCAATATTGCTTGAATTCAATACTAACACCGACGGGAAAAATTCATTTCATGTTACCAAAGGTAACACGACATGAATTTTTTGCGTGAAGCCCGAGTGGAATTAATGCGCGTGACTGTATTCCGTCCCAACGAAACGATAAAATATTGTATTCCATTATCTCTGTAATTTACCCCAGTCTATAAAAAGGAGAAAAAATTAAAGCATAACCACGGAGTGTATGGTGAAGATGATGAGTGGCCTGAAGAGTCCGTCTGTTCGTTCATGTGTCCATCCGTTCGTACATCCGGACGGACAGAGGCACGGACAGAGAGACTGATAGATGCACGGATGGACAGAATCATGGACGCACGGACGCTTCGCCCCCCTCATCATCATTCACTCCATAGATATGCTCTGAAAACCACTAACGCTATCTGTTGAGCAAGTCATAAACTAGAGGTGGCTACATACATATATATGGAGGAATGAACGACCTAAGAAGCTTCGCCCTTAAAAGAAGCTGACTGCACAAACAAAAGCTTCTAATAGTATGACACTTCTAAATTACAGTTTAAACATACACAAATGCGCACACATGCTGGCACATACACACACCCAAAAATAAATGCCCACACTCTTGTGCAAGGTAGCGCGCAAATACATGCACAAGCGCACGCAGGCATACAACATACGCAGACATATGTGCGAGTGCACGTGAACACACAGGCGTCGCTACAGACATAGCAAATGCATGCACTCACATAAACTTACACATAATCTCGCACACGCACACTCACCCGCTCTTAGTCACACATACGATTGCAAGCAAATGCACGTGCACACCTACACACACAAACTCACATACATACGTTTACAACAACAAATTAGGAATTAATTTACACACATTAGCTTACAAAGCAAATGTTTTGAAAATTAACGCACGTGTGACACCCAACAAAGCTTTGTCAAGGCACAGAGAAAACAGCATAGCACAGTGAGTCACTCAGCAAAAGCTAAATTCACATATATATGTGCTTGTTATGGAACTTAACAGACAATCAGTCCGATTATGCAATGAGAATTCTAGTCTTCATACAACTTGTGGGGGTGCTAACACTCTCTGTAAAGTTGTTTGCACCTCGTGGCGCATGTGTCCCGCGCAGAAGCCACATTTCGGGTTCAAAACTATTGAGCGGTAGGTGGCGTTGTGCTTGCGAGCATTGATTATCACCGTCATCATCGTGATTAGTGCATAGCGCCGGTGGTGTGGCCTGGCGGGAAGCTTAGGTGGCAGCACACGAGAGGTCTCTTTGACAGGTGGCGGTTGGCGCGAATGGTTATCTCTAGCGGTGGATCCCCGGTGTGCAGCACCGCGGGTTGCGCGCCGGGGGCCGTGGTGAGTCAAGCGTTGGCAAAGCCACCTTGTGTGTGTTCTTGTGTTTGTTATGTTTTTGAGTGCTGTGTAATATTGTGTAAGGCTGTTTTAGTGTGTCTTCATAATTGATGTATAATAATTCAGCCGACGATACTGTAGTTCTAAAGGGAGTTAAATAAATTGTTGTTAGGTTCGTTCCAACCATATCTGCTGTGTCCGTTCACTCTAAGAGCTGGCGCTCTTCTCCAGATCAAGACCCCTCACTGGCTCCCTAACGTGAAGCTTTTGGAGCATCGGACGTCAGTTCTCGCGGTTCGGTAGAAGCTTTTGTTTGAGCCGGGGTAGAGGAGGCCTAGAGGGACTCCCATTGCTGGCGTCGGCGGTGTGCTTTGTTGAGAGCGAGGAGATCGGTTGTTGCGACGTGTTTGAACTTGTCGGCATGTTAAGATTATTTTTTTTTTGCTTGCAAGTGGACTTTTTTTGTTTTTATTTCAAGAATGTTGTTGAGTTAGTAGGAGAGCCATGCGGTCAGCATCCTGGGGTAAGCAAAGCTTACAACATGCGGATTGTAGGCCAAGCCCGAAGCGAGCGAGTACGGAAGCCCCGTAGGTGGTTGGATTTTCTCAAAACAGCTTCTATCTCTTTGGGCTCGGGAGGCAGGGCATCGTTGCTGTCTGGTCTTGTGGCTCGACGCCGGGGCATCGTGACACCGACCGGGACGGTGGATGCCAATCGCTCGGTAAGCTGCTGTGTGCAGCGACCGAGTAGGGCTACCCTACAGAGTGGATGTCTCCTTGCAGCTGCCTCTTCTGTGCCTAGGCTGGGTGCTGGGTGGATGCCAGTTGTTGTCAAGCGACTCATTAGGACTAAGGCTCTGCGCAGCCGCCTGTCGCACGTGGCACAGCTAGGTGGATCGTGGCGTTGAGGTGTTGCACTCTGCTTCCCTCCCTTTTTTTTTTATATTGCAATGCACGAATTTGGAAAAAGTGACCTTTTTTTATTCTTGCTGGGCGTCTCGGCACCCGCCGATGTATTAGCTAGCAGTACTGACCATCGTACCATGTGGGCGAAGAGCCTGAAGCTCCCTTCCCTTTGACCTACTGCATTGTTCTTTCGAGTGTTTTGAGTGTACGCAGTGGGAGGGATGTAACCCACGGCTGGCTGTCAACTGCGCATCGTCAGCGCCGCTGGCCAGGAATGCAGTCGTGAGATCGGGCGATGGACATGCCTGGGACAAGCGCAACTGCCTGCAGTCCAGCGCCCTCGTTAGTGCTCATCGCAACCAGATATGTCGGCGTAAGTGACGGTTTCTCACGCCGACGCCAACGTTGCCGTTGCGGGACCGGTACTGAGGTGAAGTCGTTGAGCCGGACAGTGCAGCAGTGCCGACAGGCGGCGGTGTCGCTGTGGACAGACATTCTTTGGGGACATGTGTTGTTATCTTTTGTAAGAGCTTGTGTAAATGATTTCCTTCAAGTTTTTTTTTTTTTTTTTCGGAATACGGTTTGAAGAAGGCACAACACGGCTCAAGCGGCTAGGATCGCTAAACCGCTGCTGCTACCTTCGCAGGCACTTTCTTGGATTTTCGCTGTGATTATGACGAGCAAACTGCACGGGCAGCCACCGATCCTGCTGCATGACTACGAAAACGAGACATCGAAAATCTTATCGGACAATATTCGATGGACGACAGTGACACAATGAGCACAGGCGTACTTATGTACAGACTCTGCGATGGCCACTGTTACAATGTTGGTTCAAATGCAGTGCCCCCACGCGGCGCTGATAGCGCTGTGCAAGCCTGGCACAGCGGCGGGGTGGCCGTTTTGGAAAGAATAAACCAAAGTTCATTCTGGGCTAAGGACTCAACATGTTCTCGTGTTCTTCGCGGGCCTGATGGCCTACTGTTCACGGTAGTCACTACCGCCTGGCCATCAGTTAATCTACACATGTAACAACTGGAGACGAGGATGAAAGGAAGTTTCATGTAAGTCTTCGTTCTCACAGCTCTCTGCCATCTGTTCACCATGCCAAGTTTCGGCAACCTCGAGCCATTCGAGGGGGGAGGAGACGACTGGCCCTGTTACGTGGACCAGCTCAAAGCATTTTTCCTGGCGAATGATGTCGCCCCAGACAATCGTACTGCCGTGTTCATCAGCTGCTGCAGGCAGAAAACGTATGCTTTGCTCCGCAATTTGGTCAAGCCCGCCAAGCCCAGTGATAAAAATCTGGACGTGATTCTTCAAGTACTTGGAAGCCATTATTGTCCGAAGCCCTCTGCCGTCGTGCAGCATTTTCATTTCAACTCGCGCGTTCGCGCGGAAGGGGAATCAGTCAGCAATTTTATCG